AAGACTAACAACATTATTTGCTTTACATTGATCTAGTGAGATTACAGCCAACAATTTGATGAAATACGTCTTCGGGTATTACTCCGATAATTTTACCAGCTTATCTATCGGTGCTTTCTACAGTCTATGGATGCAGTACTCATAATTTCGATGAAACTGCCGTACTAATGAATACAACCCAAGAGTGGTTTTCGCAGGCATGGATAACGTATGCTATTGTGTACAGATGTCATATACTGTCCACGAGGTTGCTGAGAATTATTCAAAAACTCACGACCGGTTTCACCCTTCTTGGGACACATCAGGCACAATCCCCGAAACTCCATCAACTTGAATCCGAATTTCAAAAAATAAGCGACACTCACTCATTGGCAAACCGATTCGGTTTTGCGAGGGACTCACCTGGTACCCAGCTGAATCACCAGACATATCTCACTTAATCGACACAGTCTCGCTTACGACACGCACTCAGACATTGGATATCATAGAGGTCACTTTGGGCATTTCTATGCAACTTCGGATGAGACAGTTTGCGCTTGACCCTAATTGCGCCGTATCACAATCCCAAACTTCTTTTGCTCTCCATGAATAAGGCGCTCGAAACACAGTATTACCACACCAGCGCGATCTCTGACTGAATTTCGGAAACTCTACCACCTTTCGGTGGGCTTAACGAATTTACGTCCGCAGAACTCCATTACTTGGGTGAGCCATTCATCAATTCGGACACTTCCTGGAATCCGCGTGCCCTCTCGCAAAGTATCTGGATTTCTTAGTATTCATCGATTCAACATTTAGGCCGACACTCAGATCATCAAGGCATTTCATATGTTTGAAATTCAAGAGATTGGTATTCGCTCGCGTCGAATCTGCCATAGCTCAGTGGAACACTCCAACCCGAGGATAGATCGCTTCTAGATAAAATTCGGTCACAACCTTCCTCCATCCCATTCCTAGGGGTATTTTTGTGGTTGGCCACTTGGTCCGACTAAGGCAGCGGTTGGTTTAGTTATGCATTTGTGTTCCCCCACTGACCTCGAAATCCATCATGAAGACGCTTGGGTTAGCTCGCAGAAACTCCGTTTTCAGGGGTGTAAAGGTCACAACCTTCCTCCATCCCATTCCTAGCGGTCTAACGATCTTCTTGGACGCCGTTTCTAATGCTGGACAGACCGCTCCACTCAGGCCATATAAGCCTGGTTAGGTCTCTGATTGGTGAGCTAGTAGCCCTCGTCACGAGGTCACTTTCGTTTGCAGCGCTTAGATATTTTATCTGCATTGCTTAATCTCTCCTACTGAGCGTTTACCTTCAACTGAACACTGTTAAACAACGATATGTCTGATTGGAGGCACCGAACTAGATTCCAAAATGCATTGTATGTTCGTAATGATTACGGGTACATTGGCTCATGCTTCTCCAGCATGTGGCATGATATGTTGGATATTCTGAAAGCGTAGCGGCAGAACCTCAAACTGGATTCTCGTTCAGAAAGATGCCTTCGAACACACAAGTAACATCACAACACAATTGACCATTGAGACTCCAATCAATAAGAAATGAACTGTTGTTGCTTAGGTTAATATACAACAACGTGTTGCCATACCATCAAGGTTCGGGAAAGTTTTAAAGTCTATAATATAATCTAAACACTAGTCCAGTTAAACACTTCATAATATCACTCATCCGAATCACCGTTTAAATACTATCCACCCTGTCTCCCGTAAATGACCGCATTTATCGTGACACTTACAGCTCAAAAAACCGAATCGACTGGCGCAGGTAAGTTGGTCATAGACTTGCTAAAAATAACATTGCAGCGATCCATCGAAGCGTTTCCGGTATACCTAAATAGATACTTGTACCAGTGTATAACAGTTGAAGTAAGGAAAGTAAGGAAATTGCTGTTGATCAGAGTCTACCAACACGCTTACGTGGTTGTGTTGAAGAACTGTAGTTGTTGAGATCTGTCTATCGCTTCGAGTGAAATTCATCGGCTTTTATGCCACCACGAGCAAATAGCATTCTTATCGTCACATTGTGGCATCTGTGCACAATAAAATAATCTCTTTTCTGCGCTCTAAAATAGCTATGTAATTTGGCTGCTCTTGGAACTAAAGTATGCCTCATTTTCGCTGTGACTCCTGGTCCCGCATATAATCCAAACATCTTTGGCCTCCCAAATGAACTACATATTGAAGCTTTGTCTTCCGTTTTGGACCACACAGATAGCCGAAACCGAAAGTAGAAGAATTACGAAAATTCTCCAACATTTTTAATACGATTTTCCCACCAGATCTGCATGCATGGATGGTTAGATGCCAAATCAGGATAAATTTGCGATGAGGAAATTTTGACTAAATAAAGTCGTGGAGAATGTTTGCTTAATTCAGTGGAATAGTTGCGTTCGTGAGCAGTCTGCTTCCGCTTTGAATTTGTTCCGCGCTTTGTATCACACTGCGAGCAAATGGCGCTCTCGTCAACGCATAACAAAAGCAATCCTCTGTCTGCGTGTTAAGTGCAGTCGTGTCACTCGGTGTCTCTCGTTAATGAAACGCCTCAAGATGGCTGTGGTTCCCGGTCCTTTAAGACAATGTCATGCCGGTGGTCCTTTTCTGCTGTCGAAGGAATAAGGGTCTCTCATAATGAGGTGCACATTGTTTATTTTCTGGAGAATAAGGACAATTATGGTTTTCGGATCACCTTTGTTTTACCAAGCTGCCATTTTTTAAGACTGACCGGGTTTTCGGCATGTATTCCATGATTGTGTAAGTTGTCTCATGCACTGCGTCTGCTCCCTCCTCATGGTATCAAATTCAAGTTTGAATTTTCTGGACGCAAAACAGCCAAATTTTACACAGAATTCTGTATAGATACCATTCAATTTGGATACCGCAGAATGCACAACTATAGAAGAAATTGTCAAGGTTCCGATTAGGACGAAAACACGACGTGGCTTCCGATGCGGCTGATACAACTGAGTGTGTTTTCTCTTCTCAAAAATTGCGGGTGATTCACCTAAACATAAGTTATACGATTCAACAACTGAACTCAATTACATCCATCATGTCATCCCTAATCAAAATTGCCATCGTCTCACATTTTACCATTGCTGTCGCAAAAATTCACGCTTATCCTGATACGCACAGCCAAAATATCCGAATCGAGTCGCACGGGTGGGTTGTTGACTGTTTTTCGACGAATTCAGATTTGTTATTGTTGAACCTCTTTTGCACACACTAATTAGCTAACAAATTTACAACACGTTTACGTGGTTCGGTTGCTAAGATTCTTTCATCTATAACCTGCGGGTTGCTTAGATTTCGAATGTATTGAGACTCAGACAGAGTCGAAAACCTCTTAGAATTGTGTGCTGATTGTCGGTTGTCGCAAGCAGCCCATCTGATCTATCGCCGACGCATCATACTCAATAATTTTTTTGTAGGCACGCAACAATCGAGCTCCACACTGAATTCTCGTTCAGTAGCATACACACCAGATACCATGAAAACAGGACAATTAAATTAATTGTCGAAAGCCAAAGTAGGATGAAATGATGACGTCATACACAAGGTGGTTGATGCAACTAAAGATGTTCTCCTAGCTGAATCCATCGAGTGGTTTTTTAGACGTCTATCAAACCCTAGCCTCTGTTACAACGCTTATATCAACAGTCACCGTTGCCATTGTCTTAACATTCACTCTTCCCATCTCAAAAAATCACATCATGGTGCGAACAGCCAATGGATCCGAATTGAGTAACCTGGGTAGTTCGCTGATTGCCTTCTCGAGGAATCCACAGGTTCAGTAATAAACTTCATCTTCCATTAGACGAGAGGCGGAATTTCAAGATGACCAAAGATTACTCGCACGCCTGATCAGCAGCATCCACTATTGCGTAAATCTTATGGGATAAAGATCCCTCAGTCGGAGTTCTGCGTGATTTTATTATCATAAGATTGTGACAGGATAGAGCACGTTAGGAATTTCGCAGAAAAATTTACAACATTGCGTGAAGTTCCCTTTCATACCTGTTTGAGATTTATAAAGCGTCCACGAAATAAATATAGCAGTGAGTGGGCCTAATAGGATGCCTAAACAAACAATCGGTTTCGGCGAGCACCGTGTCCGGTGGGACGACAAACTCATCAACCTGAAAAAATTTCCCAGAAAACCGAAAATCTTCAATGAAGCGTTCACCAAATTTACCGTCCATTTTGACTATCCTTTTACAACTATAATAACTAAATTTGGACTAAATAATTTCCTAATGAGTAAACACGAGTCATTTGCAAACCATGTCAAGCAAAAAACACCAGATTAGACTCGGCAGTTCTGATTTACCCAGCGAAAACGGGTTGCATCTATCTGTACGTCGGAACGCACATGTTCATTGCGTTTATTGTATTATCGTAAATGAGAAATAGCATACACTAGCTAGCGTATGGAATTCAAAAAGGCGAAGGAGAGAAATCATCCAAGTGGCATTCGCTGTTGAGCCAC